GAACAGGAGGATAACAACATGGCAGTTCACTTCTATCTTGTGTGAATCCTTGGAGTCTCAATTGAGCAGGGAGAGGACAGGATGATGATGATGATGATGATGCTCTTCACTTTGCTTCTATCTGTAAACCTATTGAGCCCAAGTTTTTTGGGGGGAGAGGGGCATAATAATCATAATCATAAGGCACCCTCGAGAGGAAAGCTGACTACAAATAAATTGATTAACGATGATGATATAATTAATAATAGTAATAGCAACTCTGAAGTAGAAGTAATAATAATAATAGCAGATAAGAATAATAGCAACTCTGACATAATAAGGAAATACTAATAGCAGGTCTGAAATAATAATAATAGCACACAATAATAGGAACTTTAAATAATAATAAGGATATCAGACAACAATAATAGCAACTCTGAAATAATAATGATAACAGTAATAACAACAGACTTCACTTGTGACAAGGGGTGAACTTTTGAGTCACAATATCTGGAGGAAAGCTGCATATAAATACATGAATTAGGATAGTAATAAGATTATTATTACTGTACTATTATTATTATTATTATCACTACTATTGCTGTATTATTACTGTATTATTATTATTCCCATATTATTCCTGTATTACTATTATTACTGTATTATTATTAACCGTATTATTATGACCATATTACTATTACAATTACTGTATTGTTATTACTGTATTATTATTATTACTATTATTACCATATCATTATGACCATATTATTATTACTGTATTATGACACTATTATGACCGTATTAAATAATAATAATAGAACACAATAATAGCAACTCTGAAATAATAATAAGGATATCAGACAATAATAATAGCAACTCTGAAATAATAATAATAGTAATCACAATAGACTTCACTTGTGACAAGGGGTGAACGTTTGAATCACAATATTGGGAGGAAAGCTGCATATCAATACATGAATTAGGGTAGTAATAAGACATTATTATTACTGTACTATTATTATTATCACTACTATTACTGTATTATTACTGTATTATTATTATTCTTCCCATATCATTCCTGTATTACTATTATTACCGTATCATTATTAACCATATTATTATTATTATTACCATATTACTATTACAATTACTGTATTGTTATTACTGTATTATTATTATTACCACATTATTATTACTGTATTATTATTACTATTATTACCATATTATTATTATTATTACTGTATTATTATTACTACCATATTATTATTATTGTATGATTACTATTATCACCATATTATTATTACTGTGTTGTTATTATTCCCATATTATTCCTGTATTACTATTATTACCATATCATTATTAACCATATTATTATGACCATATTACTATTACAATTACTGTATTGTTATTACTGTATTATTGTTACTATTATTACTGTATTATTATTACTATTACCATATTATTATTATTAGTGCATTATTACTATTATTAACATATTATTGTTACTGTATATTATTGCTCTTATTACCATATTATTATTACTGTATTATTATTATTACTATTATTACCATATTATTATTACTATTATTACCATATTATTATTATTATTATTATTATTACTGTATTATTACTATTATTACCATATTATTATTACTGTATTATTACTATTATTGCCATATTATTATTACCCTATTATTATTACTATTATTACATTATTATTACTATTATTACCATATTATTATCAATGTATAATTATTACTATTATTACCATATTATTATTATTAATGTATTATTATTATTCCCATAGTACTCCTGTATTACTATTATTACCGTATCATTATTAACCATATTATTATGACCATATTACTATTGCAATTACTGTATTGTTATTACTGTATTATTATTACTATTATTACCATATCATTATTACGGTATTATTATTACTGTATTATTATTATTATTATTATTATTATTATTATTACCATATTATTATTATTACTGTAGTATTATTACAATTATTACAATATTATTACTGTATTACTATTACCATATTATTATTACTGTAATGTTATTACTACCATATTATTATTACTGTATTATTACTATTGCTACCATATTATTATTATTACTGTATTATTACTATTATTACCGTATTATTATTACTGTATTATTACTATGTTTACCATATTATTATTATTACTGTATTATTACTATGTTTACCATATTATTAGTACTGTATTATTACTATGTTTACCATATTATTAGTACTATGTTTACCATATTATTATTATTACTGTATTATTACTATTATTACCATATTATCACTGTATTAGTACTATTATTACCATATTATTATTATTACTGTATTATTATTACCATATTATTATTAATGTATTATTATGACCACATTATTATTATGACCGTATTATTATTATTATTATTATTATTACTACTCCTACTACAACTATTCCTATTCTGCTTCTTCTCCCAGGAAGCCGGGCCTGGGCCTTTCTGGCTGTCTTCCCCGCAGGCCTGGCTCTTTCCCCGGCGCCTTACCTACGACGAGGCCGGTCCCGTGCGAAAGAAGGAAGGAAGGAAGGGCGGCCTTCTTTGTCCCTCGGCCGGCCGGGGCCTCGATGGAGCGCGCGGCCTGCTCTGCCTGCCTGCCCGCCTTCCTCCTCCTCCTCTTCGGGCCGGGGCCGCCTCTCCGTTGTCTCCGCGGCCGCCCCGCCCCCGAGGAGGAGGGGAAAGCAAGGCAAGGCGAGGGCCGGGCTTGGCAGGCCTCGCTCGGGCTCCAGGCGCGGAGCCCGAGCGCCTCGAAGCGGGCCTCCTCGGCACGGCAGAAGAAAGGCCTCAGGAGGAAGAGTAGGCCTTTCTCCTCACAGGAAAACTCCCACAGCAGGCTGCCTGGGCCTACTTGGGCCTTCAACTACCACAATGCCTAACAGCCAAGTAGGCCCAGGACTCTATGTGTTATATGTATGCGTGCATATAAGAAGTCGAACATGACCCCCTCCTCCATAAAAGATAGTAACTTATAGTTTTGCTAAGGACAAGGATACCAGACTGGGTCATAACGGTTAAGCCTTGGTCAATTTGCCAAGACACTAACAACAACAAGGACCCTTCCCATGTCGGATAGTGTGTACATTTCATAGAATATATAGCATCAAAGAGTTGGAAGAGACCTCCTGGGCCATCATCCAGTCCAACCCCATTCTGCCAAGAAGCAGGAATATTGCATTCAAATCACCCCTGACAGATGGCCATCCAGCCTCTGTTTAAAAGCTTCCAAAGAAGGAGCCTCCACCACACTCCCTCCGGGGCAGAGAGTTCCACTGCTGAACGGCTCTCACAGTCATAGAATAGAATCACAGAGTTGGAAGAGACCTCATGGGCCATCCAGTCCAACCCCATTCTGCCAAGAAGCAGGAATATTGCATTCAAAGCACCCCTGACAGATGGCCATCCAGCCTCTGTTTAAAAGCCTCCAAAGAAGGAGCCTCCACCACACTCTGGGGCAGAGAGTTCCACTGCTGAACAGCTCTCACAGTCATAGAATCATAGAATCAAAGAGTTGGAAGAGACCTCCTGGGCCATCCAGTCCAACCCCATTCTGCCAAGAAGCAGGAATATTGCACTCAAACCACCCCTGACAGATGGCCATCCAGCCTCTGTTTAAAAGCTTCCAAAGAAGGAGCCTCCACCACACTCCGGGGCAGAGAGTTCCACTGCTGAACAGCTCTCACAGTCAGGAAGTTCCTCCTCATGTTCAGATGGAATCTCCTTTCTTGTAGTTTGAAGCCATTGTTCACGTCCTAGTCTCCCGGGAAGCAGAAAACAAGCTTGCTCCCTCCTCCTCCCTGTGGCTTCCTCTCACATATTCAAGTAGACAGCCAAAAGCAAAGTAGGCCAGTTCGGTGTTGTGTTACGTTGGTGTGTGCGTTTAATGATGTTTGAGGACCGGGACATCCATAGGGATGCCAAGGTGCTTGTCTATAAAGCTATTGTCCTCCCAACCCTCCTCTATGCCTGCGAAACGTGGACTGTCTACAGACGTCACATGCAACTCCTGGAACGATTCCATCAGCGCTGCCTCCGGAAAATCCTGCAAATCTTGGGAAGACAAGCGGACAAACGTCAGCGTGCTGGAAGAAGCAAAGATGCTCCTCCGCCATCAACTCCGCTGGACCGGCCACGTTGTCCGGATGCCTGACCACCGTCTCCCAAAGCAGTTGCTCTACTCTGAACTCAAGAACGCAAAAAGGAACGTTGGTGGACAGGAAAAGAGATGTAAAGATGGACTCAAAGCCAACCTTAAAAACTGTGGCATAGACACTGAGAACTGGGAAGCCCTGGCCCTTGAGCTCCAGCTGGAGGTCAGCTGTGACCAGCAGTGCTGCAGAATTCAAGGAGGCACGAGTGGAGGGTGAAGGAGAGAAATGTGCCAGGTGGAAGGCGCGTCAAGCCAACCCCGACCGGGACCGCCTTCCACCTGGAAACCAATGCCCTCACTTTGGAAGAAGATGGAGGTCAAGAATATGGGCCCACAGTCACCTATGGACCCACAGGGAAACCCATCATGGAAGACCATCTTACTCGTCCAACGAGGGATCGCCTAAGTAAGTAAGTAAGTAAGTAAGGTTGGCTCTTCTCCACACTCGCATGTCGTGGATTCCACTTTGTGGCCCCATTTCGTGAGGTTGGATCTGCATCTCGTGGTACCAGAGCGCAGTCTGTTCAGCGCCTTCCAAGTCTGTGTGCCCAGGAGGGAGTCTCTCATTTGGTATCAGCCATTGGTTGAGGTTCTGGGTTTGAGCCTGCCACTTTTGGACTCACGCTTGCTGAGCTGTTCCAGCGAGTGCCTCTGTAGATCTTAGAAAACTATGTCTAGATTTAAGTCGTTGACGTGCTGGCTGATACCCAAACAGGGGATGAGCTGGAGATGTCTCTGCCTTGGTCCTTTCACTATTGGCTGCCACTTCCCGGCGGATGTCAGGTGGTGCTAGACAGTGTAATTTCTCCAGTGGTGTAGACCGCAGGCACCCCGTGATAATGCGGCATGTCTCATTAACAGCCACATCCACTGTTTTAGCATGGTGAGATGTGTTCCACACTGGGCATGCATACTCAGCAGCAGAGTAGCATAGCACAAGGGCAGATGTCTTCACTGTGTCTGGTTGTGATCCCCAGGTTGTGCCAGTCAGCTTTCGTATGATACTGTTTCTAGCGCCCACCTTTTGCTTGATATACAGGCAGTGCTTCTTGTAGGTCAGAGCACGGTCCAGAGTGACTCCCAGGTATTTGAGTGTGCTGCAATGTTCCCGTGGGATTCCTTCCCAGGTGATCTTCAGAGCTCGGGATGCTTATCTGTTCTTGAGATGAAAGGCACATGTCTGTGTTTTAGATGGGTTGGGGACCAGCTGGTTTTCCCTGTAATAGGCAGTAAGAGCACCTAGAGCTTCGGAAAGCTTCTGTTCTACCATCTCAAAGCTCCCTGCTTGAGCAGTAATGGCACGATCATCAGCATAGATGAAACTCTCTGTCCCTTCTGGCAGTGGCTGTTCATTTGTGTAGATGTTGAACATGGATGGAGCAAGCACGCTCCCCTGAGGCAGGCCGTTCTTCTGTTTCCGCCATCTGCTTCTCTGGCCCTGGAACTCAACAAAGAAGCTCATGTTTTGTAGCAGGTTTCCTATGAGGCGGGTGAGATGGTAGTCCTTTGTGATATTATACATTTTTCTCAGGAGGAGGCGGTGGTTGACACAAAAGATAAAGGAGTGGTACAATCGCTTCAGAGAAGGCCAGATTTGACGCGCCTTCCTCTTGGCATGTTTCTCTCTTTCGCTCTCCATTCATGCCTCTTCAAATTCTGCAGCACTGCTGGTCACAGCTGACCTCCAGCTGGAGCGCTCAAGGGCCAGGGCTTCCCAGTTCTCAGTGTCTATGCCAGAGTTTTTAAGGTTGGCTTTCAGCCCGTCTTTAAATCTCTTGTCCATCAACATTCAGTTTTCCGTTCTTGAGTTCAGAATAAAGCAACTGCTTTGGGAGACGGTGGTCAGGCATTCAGACAACGTGGCCAGTCCCAGTGGAGTTGATGGCGGAGGACCATCGCTTCAATGCTGGTGGTCTTCACTTCTTCCAGCATGCTGACTGATTCTCTGTTTGTACCTCCTGTTGTTAATGAAAATATATTTACTGATGCTAATGAAAATGTACTTCCTGATGTCAATGATCCTGAAATTAGTGACAATGAACCTGAAATTAGTGAGGAAGAAACTTCTGCAGATTTGGAAAATGAAAGTACCAGTGTTCATGAAAATGTTTCAGAGGGAAGTAATGACCTTTTACTCCTTTCTGCACCTGGGATCCTTAATGAGAATAGAAGGGGCCAGATCTGGCAAGACAGGAGTGAAGCGCTCAGCTTGCGAAGGTCTTCCAGATTAAAAGAAAAATAAACAATGGCTTCAAAGCAGGGAGGCGTATCACGAAACCAATTCCTCGGCTTTAAGTGCCTTTCGCCGGGCTGACTTTCTCAGTTCAGGCATTGTTTTAGATTGATGAGTACCTTGGCAGTTCTCCCGGTTCCCCTGGCCATCGTCTTGAGAGAATTCTAGGACATCAAGTACGGTTAGTGGATTGCTAACAGGTTCCAGTATTTTACAGTGTGGCTTTGGGTTTTGATCTTGTTCATGGACATTCATGTTTGCTGATTTTGCTGTGGCTTTTGACTTCGCATTTTTCCTCTATTTTGTAACCATTTTTCTTCAATAAAAAAGGATTGTTTTTTCACAGTCAAGTGTGGTGGATGGTTATCTTAGGGCCTCGTTTCCTGCTCTGGGTTGCAACACTGACATTTGTCCGCTTGTCTTCCCAAGAGATTTACAGGATTTTTTGGAGGCAACACTGATGGAATCGTTCCAGGAGTTGCATGTGACGTCTGTAGACAGTCCACGTCTCGCAGGCATATAGCAGGGTTGGGAGGGGAATAGCTTTATAAACCAGCCCCTTGGTATCCCTACGGATGTCCTGGTCCTCAAACACTCTCTGCTTCATTTGGAAGAATGCTGCACTTGCAGAGCTCAGG